GTACACGCATGCACAGATGTTTGTAAGCCCAGCACTCTTCAGCACCTCATAAAGCAGAGGTGAAAAAGATCAAAGGTCAAGCATTGTTGACCAGATTAGTCAATTTGACACTTGGTGGGTTTAGCTTTAAGGTTAGTCCTAAAAGTTGTTTTAACATTTTGTCAGCATGTTAAAGTCTGCATAATATCACAATTGGACATATTTACATAGTCTTGTGGTGAACAATGAATCTGTGCAGGTTAATTCATAGAAACAAAATTTGTTTGGTTTCATAATCTTTAGTAAAAAAAAAGTACTTTTCACCTCTGAATGTCACGGTGCGTGTGGAAATAATTCCGTGGATTCAGGTGCAGAGTGAGAAAGTGTTTAATAAAGACAAAACATAAAAACAAACAAACCAAAAACTACATCCAACAAGGCAAGGCAAGGCAAGGCAAGCACGGCACAAACACAACATAACAAATACAACGAACGAGCACAGGACAGCAAACACAGGAAGACTAAATAGGGAGGCAAACAAGGAGGATAACGAGAGAGACAGGTGGAGCAAATAAACCAATAATCAGATAACAAGAGGGAGGGGTCAAACAATGACGAGAGCACATGGCTCAACATAACAACACCCATGTGCAACACAAGACCGGACAGACATGTGACAAAACCCCCTCCCTACGGAGCGGCTACCAGACGCTCCATCAGGCCAAGGCGGGACAGTAAGGAAACATCAGGGCGGGATGGGAGGGACAGACCAAGGGGGAAACGGGAGGGACAGACCAAGGGGGAAACGGGAGGGACAGACCAAGGGGGAAACAGGAGGGACAGACCAGGGAAAAACAGAGTTCATCGGGCGGCCAGGGCGAAACAAAGTTCATCGGGCGGCCAGGGCGGTGAAGACCCCTCGGGCGGCCAGGGCGGTGAGAACCCTTCGGGCGGCCATGGTGGTGACACCGGCTCAGGAACAGCGGACACCGGCTCAGGAACAGCGGACACCGGCTCAGGAACAGCGGACACCGGCTCAGGAACAGCGGACACCGGCTCAGGAACAGCGGACACCGGCTCAGGAACAGCGGACACCGGCTCAGGTACAGCCACAAGAACTGAAACTGTTACAAGAACAGACACAAAAACAGAAACAAACACTGGCTCTGGTGCTGAAACAGGCACTGGCTCTGCCTCCGGCTCAGGAACGGGCACTGGCTCTGCCTCCGGCTCAGGAACGGGCACTGGCTCTGCCTCCGGCTCAGGAACGGGCACTGGAACAGCAGACACTGGCTCCGGCCCTGGAACAGCAGACACTGGCTCCGGCCCTGGAACAGCAGACACTGGCTCCGGCCCTGGAACAGCAGACACTGGCTCCGGCCCTGGAACAGCAGACACTGGCTCCGGCCCTGGAACAGCAGACACTGGCTCCGGCCCTGGAACAGCAGACACTGGCTCCGGCCCTGGAACAGCAGACACTGGCTCCGGCCCTGGAACAGCAGACACTGGCTCCGGCCCTGGAACAGCAGACACTGGCTCCGGCCCTGGAACAGCAGACACTGGCTCCGGCCCTGGAACAGCAGACACTGGCTCCGGCCTTGGAACACCAGACACTGGCTCCGGCCCTGGAACAGCAGACACTGGCTCCGGCCCTGGAACAGCAGACACTGGCTCCGGCCCTGGAACAGCAGACACTGGCTCCGGCCTTGGAACACCAGACACTGGCTCCGGCCCTGGAACAGCAGACACTGGCTCCGGCCCTGGAACAGCAGACACTGGCTCCGGCCCTGGAACAGCAGACACTGGCTCCGGCCCTGGAACAGCAGACACTGGCTCCGGCCCTGGAACAGCAGACACTGGCTCCGGCCCTGGAACAGCAGACACTGGCTCCGGCTCTGGAACAGCAGACACTGGCTCCGGCTCTGGAACAGCAGACACTGGCCCCGGCTCTGGAACAGCAGACACTGGCTCCGGCTCTGGAACAGCAGACACTGGCTCCGGCCCTGGAACAGCAGACACTGGCTCCGGCCCTGGAACAGCAGACACTGGCTCCGGCTCTGGAACAGCAGACACTGGCTCCGGCTCTGGAACAGCAGACACTGGCCCCGGCTCTGGAACAGCAGACACTGGCCCCGGCTCTGGAACAGCAGACACTGGCCCCGGCTCTGGAACCGACTCTGGCTCTGACTCGGAAACAGCAGATACAGACATTCCAAACGTCATTCCGCGCCAGACGTTCCAAATAGTCCGTAAGTGCCTTGGCGGCCACACAAATGGGCATTTCCGGATCTGTCTCAGACTGGGCAGACTGGACGTGCTCAGTCTCTGACTGGGCAGACAGAGCGTGTACTGTCTCTCGCTGGGCAGACGGGACGTGAACAGTCTCTCGCTGGGCAGACGGGACGTGAACAGTCTCTGGCTGGGCAGACGTGACGTGAACCGTCTCTCGCTGGGCAGACATGACGTGAACAGTCTCTCGCTGGGCAGACATGACGTGAACAGTCTCTCGCTGGGCAGACGGGACGTGAACAGTCTCTCGCTGGGCAGACATGACGTGAACAGTCTCTCGCTGGGCAGACGGAACGTGAACAGTCTCTGGCTGGGCAGACGGGACGTGAACAGTCTCTCGCTGGGCAGACGGGACGTGAACAGTCTCTGGCTGGGCAGACGGGACGTGAACAGTCTCTCGCTGGGCAGACGGGACGTGAACAGTCTCTCGCTGGGCAGACATGACGTGAACAGTCTCTCGCTGGGCAGACGGGACGTGAACAGTCTCTCGCTGGGCAGACATGACGTGAACAGTCTCTCGCTGGGCAGACGGGACGTGAACAGTCTCTGACTGGGCAGACGGATTATGTCTCCTTCTCCTTCTCCCTCCCTTTTGACGGATCTGTGCAGACTCGAAGTTGGTTAAAACCATAGACGGATTCCCAACGCTGGACGGATCCGATGACGAAGATCCCATTCCAGGAGAGACCGGTGAGGAAGACTCAGCTGCCCTCCTCTCCTCATTCCTCTGGGCACACAGGGAGAAATATTTGAGAAGAGAGATCCCATTCTCCCTCTCAGCCGGACAAAGTTCGCTCCGCTGAATCCACATGTGGCTCGTTCGTTCTGTCACGGTGCGTGTGGAAATAATTCCGTGGATTCAGGTGCAGAGTGAGAAAGTGTTTAATAAAGACAAAACATAAAAACAAACAAACCAAAAACTACATCCAACAAGGCAAGGCAAGGCAAGGCAAGCACGGCACAAACACAACATAACAAATACAACGAACGAGCACAGGACAGCAAACACAGGAAGACTAAATAGGGAGGCAAACAAGGAGGATAACGAGAGAGACAGGTGGAGCAAATAAACCAATAATCAGATAACAAGAGGGAGGGGTCAAACAATGACGAGAGCACATGGCTCAACATAACAACACCCATGTGCAACACAAGACCGGACAGACATGTGACACTGAAATGGCATTCCTTCCCTGTTGACATCAGTTTGATGGCGTGGGCAGAACATCCTTAGCCACTCCCCTACAACCATCAGTCTTTTCCGAGCTAGAGATGCCGAGGATGCGAATCAAGCTCCGCCCTTTTTTTTCCTCTTTCAGTTTTCCATTTTAAATATGTCTAAATAAGACTGAAGCAAAGTACTTCGCAACTCCCAGTTCACGTGGAACTTTAAACTTCTGACTAAATCATTAGAACTAGTAATATGCAGTATATTTGCCAAGAAATATTTAATATTTAGTCATGTCTTTTAATGTAAAATTTGATTCAGACCTGCCTCACATCATGTAGTTCTTCCCCAAGGTTATGATGTTGGTTCTTGCTCTGTATCTAATTTTCACAAAAAGGTAACACTCAATTTCTTGTATGTTTATTTTATTTCCAAAGCATGTAGAATTACCTCAAATCCTCTTATCATACTTTATCCGTAGGAGTGCAATGAAACCCTAACTATTTTGTTTTCCTTTAAGTTGCCCTTGTCAGTCAGAGAGCCGGATTAGTAGCTTTTCTTTGTAGGCCTTTATCAATGGTGTTGTATAAACATCACAGTGTAAATGATTCCTGTGAATCTAGAGACAGTTTAAACTAGCCAATGGGATGCTTGTTGGATTCGACAATGTCACTAATTTGTGACATTGTCTAGTGTTTCTCCTGCCTACGCATACACATATCTATGTGTATACAAGATCCAAGATTTTTGCTACACCTTCTAATGGTGAGAGTTGAGAAAATGTATAGTCCATAAATATATATTTTTACTTGTATTTGCATTATTAATGTTTAATACATATAGAAACAACCTCTCAAAAGTTTGGGGTCAGTAAGATGTAAAGCAGAGCAAAAGTTTTTAACATTGATACTAATAAGAACCAAATCACCATATTAGACTTCTGAAGAATCATGTGACACTGAAGACTGGAGTAATGATGCTGAAAATTCAGCATTTGCCATCACAGGAATAAATTACATTCTAAAATAGAAAATAGTTATTTTAAATTGTAATTGTAAATATGTGTGTATTGTGGAATGTATTTGAAAGTGAATGCTGGAAAAAAAGAAAAACTTTGTAATTAACTGCTTTAAATGTGGATAAAACATACACCACCATGTTTGAATATGACTAAGACACGGCCTGTCTTACCTTTAGATTTCTATTTACAGCCCGCATCAGCAATATTAACAGAACTGTGACCGTTATCGGCCTCAAAACACTGGTGCCATTTACCCTTCTTGTTTCATGCTTCTCATATCCAGACAAAAACCCAGAAATGTTTTTTTTCACCTTTCCACACAAATCTTTGACCTTTCTGTATGCCAGTTAAAAATCGCTGTTGCGATAGCATTGTTCACATTTGACTTAAATATTCTCATTAGCCCAAAAAATACTCCTTGCACACCTCATGAGCAAAAAAAGGTGAGGGAGGAGCCCAGAACTGCTACAAATCAGCAGCCTTGAGAGAGCAGGTGGGCGTTAACAAGCTCATGAAGTGGCCAAACTAACAATAAAAAGACTTGTGTCCCCTGATATTCTCTTCCACTCTGCCTCCAGACTCATCAGAGCCTGTGCCCTGCTCCAGAAAGAGGGAAAGGGATAGAGAGTGAGCAAAGGATACTGGCAAAAGGGAAGCACCATGGCTGATTCTTCAACAAACATGAGGTTACGGCTGCCACTGTTGTGCATCATCTTGGAGGTCATCCTCATCATCCTCTTTGGAACACTGGTGGAGTATGACCATGACACTCATGCCAAGTCGTGGAATGAAAACAGAACTTCTACTAGAAATGATTACGAAAATGAGTTCTACTATCGTTATCCCAGTAAGTGACATATAGAATGGTGTGTAGAAGACTAGTAAGTAGTAGGGCTGGATTTTTATATTCTGCATTCATTGTTGAGAAGATATTTGTGGATCTGATATGATCATGCAATTAGGTAATAATTAAAAAAAAAATGTAGATCAATAAATCTATTAAGTTTGCCAGCGGAAACACAGATATAGTGCCTTTTAACTTGATACCTCAGGAATGTGTTTGGGTGACCTGCCGACAGACATTGATCTAAACTGTGTTACTTGTGTTTGAGCAGTCTGACTGGTTTTAAGTGAAGCATGTTTACCTTTAAGAATTTGATCTCTTTAAAAGCTTGATTTTGTTTTGTGCTTGGCTTTGTGCAACTGTCGTCAAGTTTAAACTGTAGTCGGATTTCCTATCCACCTCACTTTACTAAACCCAAGTCTCGTCTTTTAATTTCTCCGATTTGCACTAAACTTGCCCTCAGCGCCAGACTTGTGTGAACCACTTAATTACATTTAATGTATTGCATGTTGTGTCTGCGCTTCAAGCCCAGGAGACACCTACATGTGAATTATATACAATGAGTTGCATAAATCATGACATACAGACTTCACTTATCAGTTTTAACAGAATACTTAGGTAGGATAAACAAAATTAGGTAGGATAAAGAAAGAAAGGGGCAAATCCCAGAGCAAAGAACAGTGATTTTGTTATGTTGTGAAAGATTTCTTGTCTGAACAGTATTTTGTCACTGTCCTTCATCTTTATATATGAGTTAGTTTGAAAAGACAGAACCACGGGAGTGGCACGTAACTACACAACAGGTGTCACACGAGTAACAACTCCATTCAAGGGTGTAGATCAAATCTTTATTTATTGTGTGTTTAAATAAAATAAATTATAATGTTTTATAATAATTTGAGAGGTCTATGTAGATCATTGTTTCATTTGTTTGCTTTGTGAGGATGCAAATATATTGCTTCACAGTTATTGGATCAAGCCAATTCTTGTTTCCAAACCTCTAAGACTTTTTTCTCTGTGGAATACAAAAAAAAGAGAGATTTTGAAGAACTTCTTACAGTTTAAGTTTGGACCCCATTGACTTTTATTGTATAGACAAATTATTTTCAAAATGTCTCCTTTGTGTTTTACAAAACAAATAAGTCATACAGGTTTGAAAAGACACAAGTATCATTTTTGGGTGAACTATCCATTAAAATACTTTTTTGTCCTGCAGCAAACTCAGCTTACACATAGAGCTCAGACTAATTTATGGGCTGCCAAAGGGGAGTGAGTGTGAGAGATATGTGGGACAGTTTGCCTACAGGGGCCATGCCATCCTCATTGGTGCCCAGGTCAATGGCCAGTTGCTTGGCAACAGTGTAATTGTGTCAAAAGAAGTGAAATGGGTGAATGAATGGCTCTACACAGAAAAGAACACAGGGGTTAACGTTGAGTTCAGCATACCCATAGTGTAAAATTGGCCCTGTATAGTGCTGCCAAGTACCCATGTCATGAAAAACATATCAGTGATTACAGTCTATGAGAATACTATTAAAAATGTAAAATTATGAGAATGTGAGGGAGAAGAATGGAAAAATAGCTATCTGACTGTGTGTTGTAGGTTTCCAGGACGTTCATGTGATGATCTTTGTGGGGTTCGGATTCCTGATGACATTTCTGCAGAGATATGGATTCAGTAGTGTCGGATTTAACTTCCTCATCGCAGCCTTTTCCCTACAGTGGGCCACACTTATGCAGGGCTTTTTCCACGGCATGCACCATGGCAAGATCCACGTTGGTGTGGAAAGGTAAAACCTTAAACATGTGTTCGTTTGTTGTTACATACAGTAAACTATATTTTACTGTAAGAGGTTCATCATACTGATGTCAGCGGCAGCAGCTCACAAAGATCTGTTTGTCAGTAAAGATGAGAGATTAGCAACAATTGTCTAATCACTTCATCTCAGTAAAGGGGTGATGCACAGAAAGATGACAGATAACATGTCTTTAACTTTAAGCTTCCAGGTTTCCTATCCTTCATGTTTTGATTGCACATTTGCTGCTGTGGCCTCATGTATATTGGATTACAGCTGAACACAGCGCCACTCAGTGGATGTGGTAGTTTAGCAGCTGACTAGACTTTGCAGCCTCTAACACACAGGCGCAGGGATATGCACATTTATATTTATATTTTCTCACAGTGAATATGTTTCTTCTGCAGCATGATAAATGCAGACTTCTGCACTGGTGCTGTGCTGATTTCTTTTGGCGCCGTTTTGGGGAAGACCAGTCCTGTGCAGCTACTTGTTATGGCCATTTTTGAGGTGACATTGTTTGCCGTCAATGAGTTCATCCTGCTTTCTATTCTTGGGGTGAGTATAGAAACACAAAAAATTTTAATTTGTTAATTGTTATAAAATTGTAATTTTCACATGAATAACGTTAATTTTCCAAACATTGGGCACATGTTTTATTGGGATGCACCGTTATAAAAATTCTGGCTGATAATGATAAACTGATAATTAATTTCATTTTATAACTGACAAATGCTGATATAAAAATTCTATACGGATTTGTTTAAATAAGATAAGAAAACAAAGTAAATTGTTTTAAATGCTTCAAATGCATTTAGGCATTACAGTACAGTATTTTGAGAACTAATAAAGATTACATTTGAAGTTAATCTAAATGTAAAAAAAAAGAGAAAATGAACATGCTCAACCCAATATCGATAACCAATATGGTACCAATATATTGTGCTTCTCTAATGTTTGACACATGCTTAATAAAAACAAATCCATGGAACTACTGTCAAAATTCCAATGTGCACCTGGAAGTAAGTCGTTAGATAAATCCAGTGCATCATTAGTAGCTCTACCTTAGACCTTAAAACAAAACTAGTTTTACTACATTACATTTAAGTACATCACATTTACATCTACTTTACATTAAAATTAAATATCCACAAAAAGACCTAGGGCCCTATCTTGCACCCGGCGCAAATGACTTTGTACACTGACGCTAGGGGTGCACGATATATCGAATCAATATCGTTATCGCGATATCACGTTGCTCGATATCAATATCGAAAATCTCGCAATATTTATGCGATATTTTGTTTATGATGCGTCCGGTCCGACATGCACCGTTGCATTTCCCCCGACTCATTTCCTGATTCTCCTTCTCCATAAACAACATGAAATCAAGAAGAGGGTTAACTTTTCATGCAACAGATTTCCCACAGTGGTCAGAAAGAACAGGGGAGACACTTTGTTTTTCTCAATATGACTGAGTCGCTACTCGCTGCAAAGCTAATCGCGTCACTCTCTCACTTCTCCCTTGCTCTCTACTACCACACAGTCCCCACACACACACACACTTGCCGGCTCGACGCACACACCAGCGCACAAGTATCAGGGCACCTGGGAACTTCATGCGTTTTCACTGATCGGATACCTATCTGATTTATCAAAACGATATTCCTTTTACACCTGGTCACATAAATGTGTTTTTGCAAAACGGATATAAATCCGATCTTCAATTCCGCGCTATAGCCTATGCAGATTTAATGGAGTGCACGTCACCGAAAGCAACAGTTATGATCTGCATTTTACGATCATCAGCTAAAATGTCAAAATCAAATAACGCAGTAAGAGAGAACGGCAAGCCCTGTTAAGATCATTTCGTTTATTTACTTTTAATGAAGATAATTGTTTGTAAAGCGTCTGCGACTTACTCTCACTTTGATTTGCGATAGTTTGCGCGTTGGCTTGATGAAGAGATGCTCATCTGCAGTGATGCGTGTTGCAGTTGCGCGCGTCGACTCGTCATATCTGGCCATAACATGACATGTATGAATGAATGAGGCATTTATATAGCGCTTTCATATGTACTACTGTACACCCAAAGCGCTTTACAATTAAATCAGGGGTTCTCTCCTCAACCAGCACCAGTGTGCAGCATCCACTTGGATGATGCGACGGCAGCCACAGTACAACGGCGCCAGTGCGCTCACCACACACCAGCTATAGTTGGAGAGGAGAGAGAGTGATAGAGCCAATTCAGTGGATGGGGATTATTAGGAGGCCATGATTGGCAGGGGCCAATGGGTGGAATGTGGCCAGGACACCGGGGTTACAACCCTACTCTTTACGAGAAGTGCCATGGGATTTTTAATGACCACAGAGAGTCAGGGCCTCAGTTTAACGTCTCATCCGAAGGACGGTGCTCTTTGACAGTATAGTGTCCCCGTCACTATACTGGGGCGTTAGGACCCACACAGACCACAGGGTGAGCACCCCCTGCTGGCCTCACTAACACCTCTCCCAGCAGCAACCTGGTTTTCTCAGGAGGTCTCCCATCCAGGTACTAACCAGGCTCAGCCCTGCTTAGCTTCAGTGGGCAACCAGTCTTGGGCTACAGGGTGATGTGGCTGCTGTAGCCTGTAACACGTTCTAATTTTTAGCGTTTTTGGGAGGAGTAAATTTTACATATGTGGTTTCAACAATGAGATGCATTTACACTTGTCCAGTTTCGTCAGCAATGCGCGTAACCCAAACCTCCTCCTGAAGTGGTTTCAGCGATCGGATTCAAATCCGTCTCGAGCGCGTTTCGATGGTCATTTACTGGTCTTTTCACGATCAGATAGCTATCCGATCACAGAAAACGCATAAAGTGGCCAGGTGTGTTCTGTAGACTTGCTCTTTATTTATTGTTTTTTACACTGTAGTGTGTACTGTACATACAACCAGTAAAACATGTCCTGTTCTGTAGACATGGTTATTATTTATTTATTCTAGTGCTGGGCAACGATTACTTTTTTTTTTTTAATCGCGATTAATCGCATGAATTTATTGCGATTAATCGCATTGTTACGCGCAAGACTGAATAATGAATTCTAAAGTAGTGTATTGCGCACTTTTGATTTAAATGTACTGCTATATACACAAAAGTGCAATAACATGTGGTTTGCAAAAACTTTAAACAAATAAGGGGCTTTATACCAGCAGTATTACCTTTACACAGTAGCAATAAAATATTTATTGTAAATCTCAACTTAAACATTAATGTAATCAAATCAAATATTAAAACAAAGCCACATGCCAGGGCATTACCTTTTATCTAGCTTGTTAAAACGAGTCCAGTTTTCTTGTTTTTTTTTCTGAACAGGTATCAACAGGTATCTTTTATCAGGGAGCAGCAGAAACAGTCTATGTAGTCAGAGGTCATGACCACTACAGATATAAGTCGACCAACGTTACTTCTCTGATAGTAGCTTAGCTTTGGTCATGACATGGTTTCCCACGTACTCTAAGATTACATTAAACAGATGTAAATCCCAATTTATACTTCTGCATCGAACTCACGCCGTAGATTCGTACCTGCTGTGTGTAGCGCTCGTACCCTGACGTGCACCTCTTCAAAAATAACAATTCGTCAATTCTACGCGTACCGCAAGCGCTGTGATTGCTAGAACCGCTCCCCGGGTTTCACATGCATGCTCCCTCTGCATGTGTAATTGCGCGTCAAGGGGGACAACGACGCAGAAGTATAAATAAAAACCAACGCGTAGTCTAGCGTAGAGGCTCCGGCGTAGAATTATAAATCAGCCTAGAGTGAGCTAGGTGAAGTGGTCGAGCACAGGTGCAGTGACAAGCGGGTGCGTTCCTGTGAAACTGTTGCGGTCATGCTCGCCTCACGCACGCGCCCGTGCTCTCCTGTTGCCGAAGTTGAATTGTCTATTGTAGCTACACGACGCGCAGCACAAATCATTGGAAGAGACTGATCCTCGGCTCGCTGTTTGTGAGTTTCCAGAATCTAAATAGTTATCAGGACGTCATCAACAGGAGGGAATTCACATGGCAGAGCATCTCCGCTAAACTAAACGCAGGCCTATCAGGTAAAGTTATGTATAATTTTAATTTAAGTTAAAAAGGCTACAGCTGCGTAGCGCACAGAAGCCGTTGCCATGGTTACTATCCACAGCGCCTGTCATTCACTTGCGGAGCGCTGTCTCCCTTTCTGTTCACCTGAGAGAACCTGCCAAAGCCTCTCCACTGCTTGTTTGGGTGGGTTATTTGCTGGCTGACCAACATCCCACCCCTCATGTGATCCATGGTTTGACTGTAGGCCTATGTGTATTCAGAGCCAGTGAGCAACGGACTTTCAAAATAATAATAATAAAAAACTGCGTTAACGTGCGATAAAAAAATTGTCGGCATTAATTAAAAAATGCGTTAACGCGATAATAACGCGTTAACTTGCCCAGCCCTAATTTATTCATGTTGTACCAGTCCAATATGACTGTCAGTTGTAATAAACCTTATGTTGTAAGAACTTGTTTTATTTATTAATCTTTTTTGATGTGTTTTCCCATAACTTTTGTAGTTTTACATACGTTTAAAAATATCGAAATTAATATCGATATCGCAATATTCATTATCGATATCGCAATATCACCTTTTTGTCAATATCGTGCACCCCTAACTGACGCATGTATCATTCCTATTTTGCACCCGCGCACAGCGGGCTTTTCCCTCCACAGACGCACGTCGGTAAACTAGGAAATGAACTTGCGCTCCCTGGGCGGGTCGGCGCAAAAAGGAGGCGTGTTTCGGCGCAAACATTCCCTAGTGCTATTTTGCAGTTCCAGAAAACAATTCCGCCACTGACCAGAAAAAACCTAGTCTAAAGTCAGTTGCGCGTTGTTCATAATGCTATTTTAAGCGCGCATGCTTGGCCATAATGTAGCGGGTGCACTACGCGCATACACTTTGATTCTCTCATCAACACAGATGCAGCAGTTTTTATTTTTCCAAATCATACATTATAACAAGGACAAATATTAACACATGGTGGAAATCATTGTGGTGTCCATGAAGATGTAAAAAAAATGTAGGCCTAAATCTAGCATACACATTTACCCAAATTTTTCAGGCTAATTGTAGTAATGACGAATCAGACCTACTTTGCCCAATAGTGGCAAGACACATATGTATATAAGGACTTCTGACAAATTAGTTTGTCCGTCAAGAACCAGGAAAAAAAAATCTCCCATCCCCATACAACATCACTTCTCTGTCTTTCACTGCCCTGATAAGAACGTCGGTCTCCTCGGCTGTGAACCGCTCCTGGCGCGCGCCTGGTAAATCCGCCATAATAATAACAATCCGCCATGCAACATGCGCACCTGCTCTTAAAGGGTATGTTGGATGACGCTCTGATTGGTTTATTTCAAGTTACGCCCAAACCACACCTATGAATAATGAAGCTATTTCAGACCAACCCCTTTTAAACTTGCGTCGGGCGCAAGAGTCATTTATCCCGCCGGTAAAATAGCAACAGCGCCCAAGACCCGCCCACAAAGTTACTTGCGCTTCGCGCTTGATACTTGCATTTCAGATCATTAAAATAGGCCCCCTAATGTTCATAAGCTGAATTTTGATATATACATATCTATATTCTTACATTTATGATGTGCTATCATTATTTATCTGTTATCAATTTAAATGTCAATGGTATCTATAGGCCAATGACGCTGGAGGATCCATGACCATTCATACATTTGGTGCATACTTCGGCTTAATGGTGACCCGCGTCCTTTACAGACCAAACCTGAACAAGAGCCAACACAGAAACTCGTCTGTCTACCACTCTGACCTCTTTGCCATGATCGGTGAGTCACTTGAACAGGTTACACGCCTACAAAATTCTGGCCTGTGGTCATCCAGGGCTCTTTGAGCCACTAAAGCTTTGGTTCTGCTCAGGTACCATCTATCTGTGGATGTTCTGGCCCAGCTTCAACTCAGCCATTACACACCACGGGGACCCCCAGCACAGAACCGCCATGAACACTTACTACTCTCTGGCCGCCTGCACACTGTCTACATTCGCTTTCTCAGCCCTCGTCAACCCAGAAGGCAAATTGGACATGGTGAGCATCCCCTTTTGGTCATCTTTGATATTACATTACAAACTTCAAGATTACAAACTCTCACACAGGCCTCTGTCTTTTTCAGGTGCACATTCAGAATTCCGCACTGGCTGGTGGTGTTGCTGTGGGAACAGCTGGAGAGATGATGCTGACTGCATTTGGCTCTATGATCGTAGGATTCCTTGCTGGAATTATTTCAGTCCTGGGATACAAATACCTCACGGTTAGTAGCACACACTTCTCTGACACACACAACTGTAAACACCTACACCAAACCTCAGTATCTCATTGGTTGCTCTATTATGCTCTTTTAGCCGGTTTTGGAGTCGAAACTGAAGATTCAGGACACTTGTGGCATTCATAACCTGCATGGAATGCCAGGAATTCTGGGAGCTGTGGTGGGTGCTGTCACTGCTGCCCTGGCATCCCCAGATGTATATGGAAACGGGTAAGTCAGTAGTTGATATGTAATTGCATAAATAATGATTTGTTATTGTCTTAATGACAATTAATGATAATTAAAGGATTAGTTCACTTCAGAATAAAAAATTCCTGATAATTTACTCACCCCCACCCCCACGTCATCCAAGATATTCATGTCTTTCTTTCTTCAGTCGAAAAGAAATTAAGGTTTTTGAGGTAAACATTCCAGGATTTTTCTCCATATAGTGAACTTCAATGGGAACCAATGGGTTGAAGGTCCAAATTGCAGGTTTAATGCCGCTTCAAAGGTCTCTACACGATCCCAGCAGAGGAATAAGGGTCTTATCTAGTGAAACGATCTATAATAAAAAAATAAAGAACATTTATATACTATTTAACCACAAATGCTCGTCTTGCACTTGCTGTGATGCACCACACATTATGTAATCACACTGAAAGGTCACGTGTGACATAGGCGGAAGTACCGACCTAGTGTTTACATACAAAGCGAACGTGCAAAGACTAAGTCAAACGCCCTTCACAAAAAAAAATTATAAATAAAAGGTAAAACAACGATGACGGATGATTTTGAAGTTGGAGGAGAAAATGAGATGGAGTTTTTCGCCCTACCATACCTTTTCCGCCTACGTCAGGTTACCGCCTGACCTTTCCAACGTTATTGCGTAATGCGTGAAGTCGTGGACGTGCAAGATGAGCATTCGTGGTTAAAAAGTATCTATACAAAGTTCTGGCATGAAACTAGATGGCGCAGGCTAATAGGTCCTTTAACACACCTGTTCATAATCTCATCGTTATCTATAGGGGCGCAGGTGATTGGTTCCTGCCGTATAAGTAGCCAATGAGCTCTCTGCTCAACCTTCAAATACTTGGGTACAATGGGTAGAATTTTCCTTAGCAGTGCAGCGCGTTTTCCGAAATCCTCTGAAATTAAACATCTAAGATAAGTGCATGGGTTTTCATGCTATATCACTATGCGTTTTTGCGTAGTCTGCTTCATCAATTCCTTACGAACTAACCATTCACGAGGTTTACATCATGTGTCATGTCAACAGTCCTGATTTAATGCTTAGAGTGAATTACTAGCATTAGCAGCTAGAGAATAGCTGGCAATGTAAGGATACAGAGACAAGCTTTGCTGAACTCTTTAAAGTAAAATAGGCTTTTGTTTGTATTCACATATCTAACAGTACTACAGCAATTCCTAGTATTTGAACAGCAGCAACATGTATGACCAAGCAGATTGCAATGTTAGCAAATATCAACAGCAATAGAAAACTAGCAGACATTGCGGTTAAGTAGACACTGTAAGCTTTGCTAATCTGAGTCCATGTCTCGGCTAACGAGTCGATCATGAAATGTAAACATTTCCATGATTTAAAATCCAAAACAATGTATTCGCCTTATTTACATACGAAGTACGCTAGCAGCTGCATTTTCGGCAGAATTCTATTTGGGCATATACTAGGGATGCACCGAATATTCGGCCACCGAAAATTATCGTCCGAAAATGGCCCAAAAGTGCATTTTCGGTTTTCGTCCGAAAGACTTTTATCACCGAAATAATACGGCCGAAATGTTGTGATGACGCAAACAGAAACCGCGACCTGCACGTGCTTGTCTGAAGCAACATGTCTGCGGTGTGGACGTATTTCAGTATATCTGAACCCGCGAGGAGACGGAAGCCTTGTTTATACTTTCGCCTGGCTCCGCAGCGCGAGTTTCCACAGACAGCGCGCGCACCTCTCCAAACGGTCTTTGTACACAGTCATAGCCATAAATGCAATGGTACTAATAATTTGGCATAACTTCTTTCGGCGTTTCGGTTTTCGGCATTGTTTTCCTCTTTTTCGGTTTCGGCCAAGAATTTTCATTTCGGTGCATCCCTAGCATATACTATTTCATAACTGCAGGACGAACAGCGATGTATGCTAATGTCGGATACCTTTTCGTATTAGACAGCACTGCTCACACGTAGAATGATAGTTTGTCATTTCGTGCCAAGGCAGTTTCCATGTATTTCTCAAACAAAAAGCAAGAGCACCACAGTGATGCTGTATCATTTTGGCAAACGCTCCACCGGGTATGTGTGCGCGCGCGCTGGAGAACGTTAGTCATTTACGTTTGCGTGGCGTTTTGCAGCGGTGGGTGTTTGTGTTGAGGACCTTCAACCCGTTGGTTCCCGTTGAAGTTCACTATGTGGAGAAAAATCCTGGAATGTTTTCCTCAAAAACCTTAATTTCTCGACTGAAGAAAGAAAGACATGAACATCTTGGATGATGTGGGGGTGAGTAAATTGTCAGGAAATTTTAATTCTGAAGGAAACTAATCTTATTAGTTTCTAAGCTTATTATTATTGCTGTATTCTTTATATATAACGTATTGTGTTACTGTAAAGTAATGTTACATTTTACTTAATAAGGTAAATATTTTGTTGCATACATGTGTCATTGCCGAAAATATTGCAGAACTCATTCTTTGTGAGAACAGACACTGTATCTAATCTTACACAGATTGCAAAGAGTTTTCGGTGATGTTGAAAGTGGAAAATGGAACCCTCAATCTAAGGGAGGGTTTCAGGCTATCTCCCTGGCCGTCACACTGGGAATGGCTCTGTTTGGTGGTCTAATTACAGGTGGGTGTACAGTTGTAAAGTGTGAGTGCATGCTTGTCTGCCTGCTGGTTTTTTCCTGAACCGTGCAGTTCGATGCAGGTCATTGTTATACGGATATATGCTGGCAAATGTAACCTTACAGTTGACTTGCCAAATCACTTCCATTTGTTTTATTAATAAAATATATTGGAAGTAAACTCTTTATGGGTCATTATAAATACTTTGCCTTAAAAGTACCAACACACACACATAAAAAAAGATGCATCGATAATCGATTTAGCATCGCATCGCAGCACTCTGAATCGTAATCGAATCGTGAGGTGCCTAGAGATTCCCACCCCTACAGTTGACCAATCAGAGCAGACTGCGCATTTTGGAAGGTGGGTTCTAAAGAAACTGAAACTACTGAGAGTTCAGACAAAGGCAACAATTTAAATGATACATTTGAATGGCAATGAGATTTTTGAACATTAAAATTAAATCAGGTAAACTTATTCTAGTAGACTTCCTAAAATAAATTACGAATCTGTTAATGAGCATAAAAAATAATGCACGTTTTATATCTGCATAGACGCACATCGTCAGTGATGGTTTGTGCAACACACTGAAAAAGAAATATTCAGCTCTTAACATGTTTGCATTGTTTATATTTAAATATTTGCAAAATCGAAAAAAAGTCGATCCACTTTAAAATGATGTGTGAATGTAAAGAATTTAATACGGAAATGTAACAACAATCATAAAATCATTATATATAACTATATAATATATTCATTTTGTTTAAGTTAAAAACAGTGTAAATGGAACTTGGACTAAAAATATACTAAAAACATGGAATATAAACTGAAATAGAAAATATTTTCCCCCTGCAGCTAATATTTTTATCCCTTAAAACTAATCTTTGATCATCAAAATGACACACAAAAAAAAATCTTGTGAAAATAATTGGTTGGAATTAAATATTGGTTTAATTCAACCATATGTGTTTGAACCAGAGAATGACTCAGAAGAAGAGGAAAAGTAATGGTAATGCATTTATGTATCGCTCTCTACAATGTCGGACACATAACAGTAATTGATATGATTAGCCTTTGACTTGACTACGTTATCAAACAGCTAATATTCTGTTGATAATGTTACACCCATAACCATATTCCCATTCGATCTTAGAGTCAGACAACTGCCTTCTAAAAATCAGCATCCATAGACATGTTTTCAACCCCTCCTACGCGTTGACGTGATTGGTTACAAAGTAGTTTTTGACGTCAGAAACACCAGCGATTTCAAATAGCGTTTTTGGTTCACTGCAGTTTTAAGGAGAAAATACTCAGCAATGGTGTTGACTGATGAATTTGCACAAGGTTTGTCTTAAAGCATATTAAGAACACCACATAGACATAAAAAACATTAAAAACTTTATTTTCACCATATATGAACTTTAAAATAATTAAATGTCCTTTGATCTCTGCACAGCTCTAAAGAAAATCATACATATAACTGCAATGTATAAATAAATAACTTCTTGAAGTATATGTGTATGAAGCTACATACACATTGGGTCTCATTCATGAAACACGAGCAGAACGAAGTTTTGTGTAAATCGTGTGTAAAGTGGTTCTGGCGTAAATTTTCGGATTCGTTAAAATGTTCGTATTTTCCAAATGTTAGTTGGTACACAAGAAATCTACACCTGCTCCCAGCCACGCGTAAATAGTGGGCTTAACACCCGAACGTTTTGCTCATTAATAAGGCTGCATTTTAATTCACCTTAATCGGGTACATATTTGCACAGCATTTTGAAAAAATATTAAATATATAGTAATTACATACGTTTTTTCTTATTATGAGAGCCAGTAATAGCATCTGCGATGGTGGTCCTTCTCCAGTTTGAATACTATTTTTCCGAAGTGAACTAATTAGTTTTTTGCTCTCAAGCTTAATGTCGAACCATTTTCTTCTCACTTCTGGGAATGTTCGATTAACAGATGGAACTCCATTAACTGCATCTGTAATATGCTGCCAAGCTTCCTTTTTTTTAGGACCCGATACGCCACTATGTACGCTTGAAAATAAAATGTGGCGTTTTGAATGAACTTCTGATAATAAAACTTCAATTTCTGCATCTGAGATTATTTTTTTTCATTCGCATTCATGTCATAATATGATGCCCATATATAGTTGTCAGTCGGATTTAATGGGCGGGATTTATGGTAATTGAGAATGAACGTCCACGCGCATCCCATTTACGACTGATTGGAATTCATTAACACACACACACATTTCACTATCACATCTGACGTTTACGAAGTATTTGTGAATCAGGAGAACAGTTTTCGGGAAGGTCTCTTTACGCGCAAATCACTCGCATATTTACTCGTATATTTACGAATGTTTCATGAATGAGACCCAATGTGTCTACACCGGACACAACAGCTGTCAACGCCCCTATATGTTCTTCGTTCCAAAAGTAGCGTGAGCGCTTTGAATATGTGGGAAATGGAATGGGGCATAGGTTTACTGTCGGAGATTAGTTGTGTTGTGCCGCATCCAGAGTAAACATCGTCACTGATTATAATGGGTTCTATTTGCTTTTATTTCGTCGCACCGCTCGCATCTGGTGTAGACACTGTTACACTGTAAGCGAAATTAAAAAAGACAATTAAATACTTAAATCCCAGTTAGTTGTATGAAAATTAATCGACCAGAATTTTAGCTGTATATTGTTCCTTGAGCATACATGTGTGTGCAGTATATTGTGTAATAGGAATATGTGTGTGCACTCAGGGTTCATTTTGAAGCTGCCAATCTACGGTTCTCCTCCGGATACTCACTGCTTTGAGGATGGACTCTACTGGGAGGTGAAGACATTCTGATATCATTTTTTATATGCTATATTGTGTGTTTTAAACACAGATTCCTTGACTGACAGTGCAATTATTAGGCATTATTGCCTAATGTGCAGTAATGGATTGTCATTATTGGGACATATAAAAACTATTGAGTGGAACAACTGATGTCCAATATGCAGAGACAGTATCTTAAACAAGACTTGTTTTGTGCGGTAATGAAATGTTTGTTTCAGGTGCCGGGGGAGGAGGAAGGTCACAGTGAGCTTCACGAAGTGGCCACACCAAACGAAGTGTTAAAACTCAGCAGCTAAATGACCTGCTTTCACCTTTTTGCATTTGTTCAGCTGCCACCTGTGATGTTCTCTGCAGGTGCAATATATTCTACTGACTTAAAATAAAACAAACTTTGTTCCATTATTTTATTTTTTTATCATAATACGTTGTTATAAAATTATTAGCCCAGTTTACCTGAGGAACAATGAGAATGTACAACTTTAAACGTATTATGTTACTCTGAGGCAACATACCTGTGATTCCTTATAACACCACTAGATGGTGGCGCAGAGCTGCGAATGGCTCCACAGCGCCGAGACAGGGGACAAGCTGATTATTCGCATGATTAGCTCTTAGAAATATTTGTTATATAAGAAAGCTGACTGTAAAATGCAGTTTATGCTTTCTCTTTATTTTTAATATATTTTCAAAAACAAGGAGAATCTGCAAAGGGGATGATTGTGGGAAATGTTTTGTATTCGTTTGTTGTAATTTTTATTTCCCCAAAAATGAATTTGAAATATATGAATCATAAACAGCTGGAATATTTCAATGTCTATAACATAAAATTACAAGTTTTTTTCTTCTTTTTTTCAAATAACTATTGTTCTGTATTATTTGTTGCATACACTGTGAATATGGGACACTGATGAACATGTTTTAATGAGAAAATTGCTCAAATTTGGAGGGGGAAAATGTTTAACAAATATTTGGATTGACATAATATGTTAAATGTATATAGTTACACGTTTATCTGTTTTAAGGAAAAAAAATAATTAGAGGACAAATACTTTTTTCTTTCTTTACATGGATTATTTCTACCCAACATAACTTGCGTTTGAACAACACATTCTGTATGGAATGACATTTAAATAAATTGTTCGAAGATATTGTTTAAAAGTCATGTTTTAAATGAATTGTTATCCCTCGAAGGTGTGTGAGTGTGTGGGAGAGAATTACACTAGCCTATGTTTTTCGAGACGGGAATGTTTCTGTGATTTTGGCAGTCACGTGGACATTAATTTTACATTCAGTTCAAAGATAAACAATGACGTCAAATCTCGTTAATTCCAAGTGAAAGCGCCGTTTAAATCGAGAATATAGCCTACAATCACTGCGGAAAGGGTTAACGAAGAGTCCAGATGGCCTCCGTCGCGTAATTAGCACAGTTTCACTTTCTGGGATCAAACGGAGAAGAGAAAGTGGGGGTCTTATTTTGATAGCACGTTATTAGGAGCGCCTGGAGCTCGCGGGCTGTGCGAGGAGCAGCTCTACGCCCCTTTTCATTCGCGCAGAGCGTCTTTTACAGAGACGTGAACCAGCGCCAAGGTCTTTTCCCAGGCCTCAGACAGGTGGACAGCTGGGATGTGAATAGGCGCTGAGGCTGAAGTGCTTAATTGTGCTTTATAATCACCAAAAATGAAGAATACTAACTGCACGTAATATGCTATTTACATACTTGATTTGTTTGTGTTTTGTTTGAAAACGAGATTTAAAGATTTCAAATTGAAACTACTGGAGGTTGAAGTCCACGTGATAGTCTTTGATTAATTGTGCTTGTATGCAGTTGTTAAAAACTAGCGGCATCAAGCTAATTGTAGGACATTTAACCATTTTAATCAGGGAAACTTTGGTTTAGCTATGTTTTCTTTCTTTTTTTAAATAAAACCTAAAAAATAACCAACGTTCTGTATGTTCATTAGGTTTTTATGGCCCTGCAACGTTATGAGAACATTGGATTATGGTTACACAAAATCTAAAGAACCTTAGAAAAATACCTATAACTACCAAAAAGCAATCAAAATGGGAACCAAATGCAAATGTTAGGGGAATGTTCTATAATTTGTATTATTATTATGGTATTTATCTTTCAGCAAAACCCCTGAATCAGAAACCAATGTATTTGATAGTTTATCCATTTTCTACCTGTCTCTAAGTGGGTCAGTGGGACTGTGTGCCGAGGGGAAAGTCCTGTGTGTGCTCTGAAAGCCGGTCTGTATGGGGAGAGTGCCTGTCTTTAGCTCACATTAACAGGATTACAGGCGGGCTGTGTTCAGGGGCCACGGTCCCTTTCAACCGCAGGCCTCCCTCTGATCAGTGCTCACACAAACAGCACAACGAGAAAAATACAGAGAGAGCTAGTGGATTACAAATTAAATAAAGCAATACCTTGCATATATTTATTTGACATTTCATCAAAGATAAGATCAATTTAGTCTAATTGAGGAATTTTTCCAGTTACGAGATGCGCTCCTTAGTTTAGCTTTGTTAACTTTTTTTGATTGCATGGTTTACAGAACAATAAGGCTGCTAAAATCACACACTATGGGCTTTAATAACAAAGCCCGTTGAGGTCAGGAAGTTTCCTGTCAGCAGAAATTGGTGCTTATGTTTTTCTTATGTGAGGTTCCCATGTTTTTCGCTTATAGGCTTGTGAAGGTGTTTGGATCTGAATGGGAAAGAGCACAGTGGAGCTCACACCTGCTTCCGCCAAGGGCAGCATAGTTCAAGAGGTTCATTAAGCGGAGAGCAGAACAAGAACAAAATGAACAACAAAGCCGTGAGAAAAGAAATACCAACTTAGGAGGCGGTCAGTGGGGATTTTCATCATTAAGAGCAAAAACTGGGCAGAAATATATTCACAACTCAGATGAAAATACAAAAAAAAAAAAAAATAGCTGGATATCTTCAATCCCACAAAACTGACTTTAAACTCATATTTGTTTGATGATTAAGGGATTTTTGCTCTTGCAAGCCCTCCCTCAGGGCCCATTACATTCAAAGGAACACAATAAAAGCCCTGACAGCATCCTTAGGGAGAGAGGGTGGCTGGACACAGAGGGGACAAAAGCCCTTTACCGACCCCCTCGCGATCCCCCCCTTGGCCAAGCACATCCACACGCATGCTTGACATTGTGGGAGGCGTGAACCTTGAGGTCAGAGGTCAATTTGGGTCAAGTGGGGTGAAGCCATCATAGAGTCTAAATTGAGATGGTGCTGTTGAATGAGGACGTGACAGTGGAGAGGCTCTATCTAGATAAGCTGACGGAGTGGGTCACTTCAAGCTTAAATGAAGACTTGGATGACTGAGACATTTTACTTAAATGATTTTCAGTTGTTTACAGTGGATAATTTACTTACTCTTAGATTTAGATTTTTGAAATACCTTTTACGCACTCAACAATAGGAAACATGCCTTTAGCAAATAAATGAAACTGTTTGTTTGTGTGTGTGTATATATATATATATATATATATATATATATATATATATATATATATATTCCAAGGGATAATTATTAATTAATTAAATTAAAATATTTATTTTTGTATTAAATTAAATATTTTAAAACATTTTCTAGTGATTTAAATCTTTGGCAGATTCAAGTCGAAAATGATTAAATATTCAAATAATGGCTAAGAAATATCAAATATCAGCCAATAAGATAATGCAAAAAACGTTGTAACCAAACCGATATGGTGCCGATATACACTTTTCAATCACATGTCAACTCTAATCACTCACTGTGATGTCTATTAGCTCATGGAATGGTAGATTATCAGTACAGTGTCAAGCATCAAACACATTTTCCCACAATAAAAAAATAAAGATAAAGAAGTAGCTATTTCAAGTTCAGAAGATTTTGGCCTTATTCATTTGGGGATGATTAATTTGGGTATGGGGGGAGGCAGAGAGGGAGAGCCGAGAAATGCTGTGACTGTGGGTTTTGCAACAAGAACTGATTCTCTCCTATTTACTGCTTTCCTCTACATCCCTTAAGCAAATTCAGTCAATGCTGTTTTATCAGATACCAATTTGCATGATGGCAACAAGCCACAACAGACTTGCAGCTGTACCACACACACACACACACACACACACCAACATAGGCTACACAAAAACATAGCCGCCTATACCACCTTAAAAACAACAACAACCCCAAATACACAAACATAGACATAAAACACACATTAGACACAAAATGTCACAGAGTGAATGTCTTACACACCAGCAAATCACGTTAACACACAAATCAATGCATTCGCTGTGTCTCTCCTCTCGCTTTTCTCTCTCTTCACACCCCCTCCGCACCTTCTCATCATAATTAAAACAGGAGGTGTCTCCACAATGCTCTTTTGTCTTAGTGCAGCACGGTGAGAGAAAGGAGTCCGGTGGCTGAATATTAATGAGGCATGGTGTCCGTGGATAGGCTGCATGAGCAGTAGAAGAAGAAAAAAACAATGGTACTATATTTCTCCTCCTACGCTTGTGGAAGGATACAACATGTGCCAAAACACCTCCGGCCACTCAGAGTTGCCTGCGGTGGGGAAATGAGCACTATACATTGTGAAAATGTGGTATAACTAGGGTGCTGGTGTGTGTTATACTCGGGCTAGACTAGTGAAAATGCAGTGAATGTGCAGTGAAGGATTGTGTGGCCTCTTCTAGCCACTAGGTGGAGCTGAGTGAGCTTTGAGAGAGCGGCGATCTGACTGAGCTTCATTGTTTAGCAGCTATAAACACTATCTGTGTCTAAAGATGGATACACTTGCCTTGGTCTCTGTTTTAAATATAGTATAGGCCAATATGACGGTGCTGTGTTGTTTCCTCCAGCATCTTTGAGAACGCTTTGTTTTCATAGGTATAGGCTACACACATTTGAACATGTGAAGGCCAAGCATGGTAACCCATACTTGGAACTTGTCCACTGCATTTAACCCATCTAAGTTAGTGTAAACACATTAGGAGTAGTAAACACACACACACACACACACACACCAGGAGCTGGGTCACCTGAAGGTCACCTTAGTCATTATCTGACTGTATTGAGAATCGAACCCACAATTTTTGGTTAACCAGTCTGACTCTCTAATCATTAGGCCATGACTGCCCCATATAACTTATATAACTTTTTGTTCTTATAGGCCTACTGTTTAAATGCATATGTGTCAATGGCAGTGTTCATGATAAATAAAAGGACAAATTTTTAAAATATCTGGTTTAAAACATGTGACAAGTTCAGCAAAGAGATTTGTTTTCATAGGGATTTGAAAAACGCTTACCATTTTCAACAATTCATTTTAAATGACTCTAAAATGCCATAACATGTCATGTGGTGTAATCTTTTTCTTACATCTTCAATACATGTGTGTACGCATCTTTATTTTCTTTTTTCTTTCTCTATGGCGTTGCAAGCGCCATGCATACTGTTTGGGCTACATTAATTATCATTCATTATTAAATAGGTATTCAAAAGTTTAAAATTAATCTTTTTGAATAAATAGATCCAGACCAAAAAAAAAAAAAAGTGCATATCATGTATAACCAATGTTCCTCTTAAAAGAAACACACCTCCAACAATGCTTTCTCTAATAGACATGAATGCAATAAATGCATGTATGCAGGGACCGAATCACATACGCAACCACACCATCGCACAATGCCGTGAAATTGTTTCTTTTTAGCTTTTACGCGCTCAAGAGAAACACACAAACTTGCGAGCATACTTTTAGTGTTGCCATGCACATCTCTCACACACACTTTC